TTACAAGAATGGGAGGCAGAACATGGTAAAGAAGAGACCAATGGGCCCAGTAGCCAGAAACCTATCAAGTCCCCGGATAATTCTATCAAGATGCCTGAAGAGGAAGACGAGGTAAATCTGAAACAATAAGATCGCTGCCAGGTTCATGCTCGATATTTGGTTTCTTCTTTGATGGCCTTTCTCAGCTGTAGAAATATTTTTAGCTCTCAGCTCTGTCAGTGACTTGACTTTTACCATAATGTGAGTGTTGACGCCAGTTAGTTTTTGGTCACTAGGTAAATTATTCAAATTTAATTGCTGTACAAATTCTTAGTTCCATCCTGGTTTCCTCCAGTCACAGTATATTCCACATTACCAACATTCCTCAGATCGAGTAAGAACTCAGCCATAAAACAGTTAGTTGGAAGTGCCCTGAACAGCGTCAGTCAAGCTCAGTCATATGAAATGCATTGTCATCTCAATGGGAGGTTAATGAACTTACTGGTAAATCGGCGCAGCTAGCCAACCAGGAGCTCCTAGGTCTGTCTCTGCTGTCCCAAATCAACCAGACTTTGATGCTGTTTGGGGCTAATGGGTTTAAATATTGATGGGGACAATTCCAGGTTCTGTGGTTGGCTGGACCTTCCAGGCTGGTGGCTGACATTCTGGCAATCTCCAGGATAGCTGCACCGATCTCCTCTGCAGACTCGGCACAGCTGAGGCAGCCAGATTGGTGAGGCTGCATGGCCCCCTGTGCTGTCTCCCTGCTTCCTGGGACAGGGCTGCCGGCCTTTTCCCTAGCTAGTCTGGCCGGCCCTGCTACATGTATTTACCCCCGCTCCCACAGAGGAGGAGAATGGGGCTAGACAGAGGTAAGAGTTCATTGCCAATCACTTGACGTTTGAGTTTGTTCACTGACACGGAACTCCAAGGATTAATTGAGCTTTACAGGAAAATTTACTTTCTCATCAAAGCCTCTCCCAGACCATGCAGGAATGATTTGAAATTACCTAGTTTGTATTGTCTGTGCTCCCCCTTTACTCTAAGAGGTTGGTTATAAAAGCTGCCCAGAGGCCCCCCCTCCTGACCTGAGCACACAGAGTGCCTCACGAGGGAGATCTGTACCGCCCCCCACTATGCCATAGATGGAGCGCTCCGTGCCTCTGCACCAATTTGAAAGGCCACAAGGTACTTCATCTGTCAGAAGGGTGTTAAAACATCCTCATTTTGTTAGACTCTCTAGAGCTTTCTACCAGAAAATCTTTGTAATAAGTGTACAGAATTTATATTATTAACAATGTGAGTGTTTTCCTGAGCCACACGCATGCATGGCCCAGCCTGAGACCCTGCAACCTAGCAGCATGTGAGCAGAGAGAAGGGGTTTGCAGCTTTGAGCAGTAATTCTTGTCCCAGTGCTAGTTGCCACTTTAGCAGCAAATTAACTTCCCTCACGTCCTGCACTCAAGAAGCATTGAAAGATGAGAATTACCAGGGAAGGAATATTAGAATTTGCAAGAATGACAGCTTCCATGTGTGTTTTTCAGCTTTAGTCCCAGGAAGCAGAAATAATAGGAAACTCTAGCTTTCTTCCTTCTTCAAATTTAATCAAAGTGGGTGTTGGCAGGGTTAGCCTAAAAAATGTGGTCGTAAATTTGGGACCGAGGGCCATCACCAATGGGATGGCATGTGAGTTCTTTCCCATATATTTTCCTCCCTTTTCTTAAGCCTGGTTCATTCACTGACAGTACGTTTCTTTCTTTGTAGTCCAAAATGGCCATTCTTCATGGTCCATTCACCATGTTGATTGCACATCAAAATATACGCACATAATTCTCTTCACAGTCTCTGGGAGCATTGGCTCACCCATGACCGCATTTCCCACCAAGCAGCACGTCTTCATGTCTGTCTGGTGGTTGATCTTCCATGTGTCTGTTTGCCCACCCTTCTCTTCAAAACCAGCACTATTACCTGACTTCTCTTTAATGTATGATCTTTATGTTGTCTGTAAACATTTTCACCTCCTCGGTCATTTAAATCCCTGCCATCACACACCTTATTTCCTTTTCTTTGGCTCCTTCCTTCCTTTTCTTTCTTAATTTACTTATTTAAGAGAGAGCAAGAGTGATCACAGAAGGAGAGGCAGAGGGAGAAGCCGACTCCCTGCTGAGCAGGGAGCCCGATGCGGGGCTCGATCCCAACACCCTGGGATCATGACCTGAGCTGAAGGCAGACGCTTCACTGGCTGAGCCACCCAGGCGCCGCAGTCCCTTTCTTAGGCTCCCTTGTCGTACCAGCCTTCCCACTCTACCACCCTGCTTTTCTCTTCTCCGTATAGCAGTTTGCAAAAGGAAATCAGTCTGTACAGGGACCAGCTGCTTCTCTGTGTCCATGAGGGGCCTGAGGGAACTTGTTAGAATGCTGGTTTAATTGTCTGTCTAGTCAGTGCCCAGAACTGGGTGCCCCTGTAATTTCTCATTCTTGTGTAGCCTGTGGATTCCAGCAGCTAAGAAAGAGGTCTGCTAGTGTCCTGCCCACCCCTTCTGCCCTCAGATTTTATGTGTTAAATGTAGCACAGACAGGGAGGAGGACATCAGAATTGCCAGAAGTTCCAGTAACATAATGGCCTGTTAGCTGTAGGCTTTATTTCCTTCAGGGCTGAGAAGGGAAGGCAGCCCACGGGTTTTGAGCTTTTGAGATTCAGAGTTCTCTGAGGTGGACAAGGATGCAGTACAGAGCAGGGGTGGGTGCGTGTCAATGGGGATGCTAGACAGGACCGGCTCAGAGGTAGAGTCTCCCTTAAAGTTACAGAATGGCTTGAGTGTGTTACTAGTGAGGAGAAATATCCTGACCTAACTGTTCTCATAAATTGTGATATCGCCCGAAGGAACCGCAGTTTTCAGATTTGGGGTTCATAACCCAGTGGTTTCCCTAGCAATAAGAGAGACATCATGACGGTATCAATGAGCACTAAGATACCTTGTAACTTTCTGGTTTGGTTCTGGGAGTCCGTTTTAGTTCAGAAATGCCTTTGAGGCTTTTAAAGATCCCACAGTCTTGGCTCTCCTGTGTGTCGCTGTGTCCCAGCGCGGGCCAGTGGCCGTTGGTTGAGTGGGGTGGGTGCCACGGCTTCCCTCCAGCCAGTGCTGACACGCCTGAGAGCTGCCTTTGGCCACGCACTGTGCTGACAAGCCCTTTCCAGGGGTTTTATCTGATCCTGCGAAGTAGACGTCACTATTGTGTCTATTCTGCAGATGAGGAAACAGAAATTGGAAAAGAAGTAACTCATCCAAGGATCCACATCTAGAAAGTGGAAGAGCCAGGATTCGAGCCTGAGATATCTGGCCATGGAGGCCACCCCCTTAACCTTGCCTGCCGTGCCCAGGCCCTGCCCTTAGGAACATGCATGCGTGCGGGATAGACAGGCGGCCCACACCCTCTCGCCCTGTCTCGCCACACCAGAAGTAGCAGTTTGCGGTGTTTACCTGCTCTTTGATTTTTTTTTTCTTTCCCCTTTTCTCCTCAGGCTGCTTCTGTTCTTGACGTCAGATACGCATCTGCTTCATGAGAAACTCTGGTAGCTTTGAGCACTTGGTATGGACGACTGTGTTATCCAGGATATCAGGTATTACAAGACATCACCTAGCCATCTGCATCACATCTCTGTGGACAAGCAGCTATTACCAAAAAAGGCATACACTTCCAGTCCTGTGCTCCATCTGCCTTAATTCTGTGCTCGTTCCTCCATGTGGCGCCACTTCCCAGAGAGCCCCTTTGCATCTCTCACACTCTGCCTCAGTGCTGGGGAGTCTTCGTGGCCTGCACGCCTCCTGTGACTCTGGGGACCCCTCCCCAGTCGAAGCTCCTGAGCCCCACCAATGGCAGCTCTGCCCAGTCAGCAGCTTCTTCAAACAGGTAGTCCACTTGGAAGGCACGACTCTGTTCCTGCATGGCCTGCAACTTCTACTTTGTGCATAATGTAATTTTCAGAGTGACTGTGACCCTGTTGGCCTTTTAGAAAGTTTCTCTTGGTCTTTTCTGAGGCAGCCACCTAAGTGATATCATGCTTCTTTGGAAATCACAGTATACTGGCAGACTGCATTATAACCTCCATTGTGCCAAACATCCTGAGACAGCTCTCATTTCCCCAAATGTTGGGTGTAATTATGGTTTGTAAATTTATCTGGCTTAAATCTCGCCCTTCTCCCTTCCCAAGTGGTAGAAAGCTCATTCACAGCAACTGTCCTTGGACGCTAGCTTAAAGGGAACGTGGACCTCAACACTTTCTGCCTTCAGCTTTCAGCATTGTAATCCCAGGACGGGAGCCAACCCTGTCTTTTTGGATCCCCCCACCCCACCATCCAACTCCAAGAGATGCGGTCCATACCACTGTACCTGGTGCTTGTGCATTGGAATTGGTGCCTTCTCCTTTTGGCAACCATGTTATCAACCCTTTTTCTGTTTTAGTGTCTTATTTCTTCTTTAAAGTTTATTGCTTGCCAAAGATAACATCACTGAGATTAGGAGACAGGGGAGAAATTGCTGCAGATTCTGACAGAGTGCAGATTTTAAATGTCAGGTTAGCTCAATAAAGGGTATTAGAATAACTGGTGAGGGTTTTATAAAAGCTACACATTGTGTGTTCCCCGTTCTGTTGGTATGCCTGGCCTTCTACATCTCACTCCATACAGCTTTTTTTGTCCTTCGTATACTGACGTGATCATATAAACACCATTCTTTCTCTTTTAATATTATAGTACAGGACAGAGAAGTGATCAGTTTATCGGCTCTAGTAAGACCAAGACGAAAAGAAACAATGTACAAAGTGGTCTGTAATGCCTTTTGGTTGGACTGGGAACAAGTAAATGTTTCTAATAAATGTTCTAAGATTTCCAGAATCACTTATTCTCGTACCAGACTCTGGACCCGCTGCGGGGCTGAGGGATAGACTGTCAGACTGCGTTCTCGCGTAACCTGTGTCCCGCCCACGGTCAGTCCAGCCTGCACTAAATATGTTGAAGGAGCTTTTGTTGTTGCTGTTTTGCATCATTTAAATATTTTTCCTGCTTTCAATACCAAAAAGAAAAAAATGCAGATGCTTTAAGGCACAAACAGAATTCTTAAGAATTTAAAATATGCAATTAAAATCTGATGTGTTTTGACTCCCAAGCACCTTGCCTCCCCCCCTCCCCGCCCCCCCCACTTTTTTTTAAAGTCAGCTGATTGTCTCTTTAGGAAGAACGTCAGCTAGAAACCTAGACTGTTTGGATTTGTATGTTTTTAGAAATCTGGAGAAAGGTCATTCACAGGGGCAGTAAAATGGGACTTTCCCAACTTTTGTCATCTTGTCCCTTCACAGGGAGTCTGTGGGTCAGGTAAGAGCGTGTGAAGAACGGCATCGGAGGAGGCCAGAGGGCAGTCACAGCTCGCTGCTCCTACCTAGACGGGGTAGCCTAGTAACACTAGTCACGAGGTAGGATTGGTTTGGGCTCGTATCCTAAGCCTGCTGTGTGATTGGAAAATGGCAGGTAAACCATGGAGAGGAGGTGGCAAAAGTTTTGCACATCGCTTAAAGGGGACACTAGGCAAGAAGCGAGGCCGTAGGTTCTCTTTGCTTCTCAAGGCCTCCTTCCTCTTTATGGAAGCAGCAGGCAGTTTGCTGCAGTGGGTCTCGTTCTGCCAGTAGATCTGTTCCTCTCCGTGCCCGGGCAGTTCTCCTTCTGGCAAGGCGTGAAAGCCCCATGCTGGTTCCTAGGGAGCGGGGCCCCTGGGTGTGTTCTGCACCATCCCCTCATGTGCTCGCCCAGTGCTGAGGAATCACTGCTCCAGTACCCGAGGCCGGCCACAGCAGCCCGGCTCTGGCTTTCTCCACCAGAAGGGGGCATCGTTGTTGTCATTGGCCAGAAGGAAGAAAGATGGTTGTCTTTGCCTGACTCCTTCTCCACCTTGTAGTTTCAAGCATAACGTAGCACTGTGTTTTAAACTGTTTCATTACACTGTCTTTGCAATGATGTTGTAAATGCAAGAAATCACTTAGCTTTAAAAGCTGAGTGATTGATCTTATTTATGTGAAGCCCCTTTTTTAACATATCAAGACTTCGGTGCATCAGCAGGTCGTGTTTGGATGTATAAGGGTCCACGGTGACAGCTGCTGCGGATGCAGTGTTCACTTAAGCTTTGTCTTCTTAAAAATTGATCAATGTGAATGTCATAATTATATATATATTTTTGTGGAAAATTTCTCCTAAGTATAAGTTATTGTGCAAAATATAGTACCATTGAAGCAAATGATAGTTTAACTTTTAGTTTAGAAATCCTAAAAGATATAAATTGTACTGCATATGCATTAAAAGTTTGTTCTATTTAATTTTATGTAGGTGTGTCAAGTGTTAGGTAAAAATTGTTTTCACTTATCCATTTAAACACCTTGTTACTTGAATATTGTGCTGACTGGTCCGAACCAGTGATCGACCCTGTAACATAGCTGTTTAACCAGGAAGGCCGCGCCTCAGTTGTGCTCACAGTCAGGTGCTGGTGCCTACAGGAGGCGGCAGCTAGAGTAACACACCCACCGCGTGGTCTTGGGGTGTTTGTGGCCACTAGGACACCAGTTCCTCAAAATGGATTTTGATAGTTTTTAACCTATACAGCCCTTCGATGGTCACCAACCTCTCTAATCAAGAAATGAAAATGAAAAAATCGTTGCGTTTTACAAGCTTACTGTGGTGGACTAACTGAGCGGTTGTTTTCTGTGTATAAAAGTTCCCTCAGACACCACGCACCACTCTAAGTGTGCTCACTGTCACTTTAAATTTCAACTACGCCCTATTTTTGTCTCTCTAAATATCAGATGTACTATTGGTATAATTGCATACCAAAAATAAGCCAAACAGTGCATTACACTAACTGGATCCCTGCTTAAACGGAGCAAAGGAAAGACGGAGCCAACTCAGACGAGAGCCTCGTCTCCTCTCTCGTCCAGCCTGTGTCTAAGCCCAGTGACCCAGGATCCAAGCTTTCAGTATCGAGTGAAACTTGGCTTCCCGTTGACTCAAGGTAGTTAGCTAATCTGAATCTAGTGATCTTGTGCAATGCTCAAAAACAGATTCTCTCTCCGCCCCTCCCTGGGTCCCTGCAGCTTTCCCTCTTACACTAAAGCACAATTGCGGCAATGTTACAATTCAGAAGAAGGAAGGTCAGTAGAGTCTATGCATGTCGTGTGATAATGAGTGTTTACAGTCACCTTCTCCGAAAACTAAAATTTTTACTGGAGTGGATAGTATTCCATTACGTAGACCTATCAACTTTGCTAAGTGCTTTTTAGATTGCTTAAAAATTTTTCAAGATTTTAAAAGATGTATAAGGTTAAGTTTGCAAATATAATGGAAATGCTGTTTATCTTTTGAAGTGATAAAATCCATGTTGGAATTTTAAAGAAAATATGTTGTTAATAATGCTGTTGTAAGTAATATTTTAATGTCTCTTTTTGCCTGTTTTCTATATCAGCACACTCATTGTGGTGAATGTTCATAGCATTATAATTGCTTAGCCATTGAATGATAACATTTGTTAGTGGAGATCGAAAAATTTATTTGTGAAATTCTGCAGAATTCATTTTTCTATTTCTAATATTTGCTGAAGTTAAATAAAAAATTTTCAAGCCATTGATGTAATAAAATATGAGACCAAACCATTTTCTGCACCCATCAAAGCAGTGCTCCACGCTAATGCGTAGTGGGGTTTTGCTTTGGGCCTTGGTGTTTCGGAGCGTAGACGCCCCCCAGAACTACACCCTTGGAAGCAGCCACGGATGCCTTCTGTGTTTAGCCTTTGGCTCTCCTTGAACTGCATTTTTTTTTTTTTTTAATTTTAATGTATGATGAACTTATTATAGTTGGGACCGAGTTGAGGTACATGAATTCATAAAAGTTGGCAGCTGTTGAGGGCTTACATTTTAAGGTTCAGTGAGAGGACATTTTTTTCCCCATTAGTGGTTTTTCTCTTTTCATTGTGACCAGGCTTGACACGTGGATGCTGGCCTCTGCACGGCCCTGGACCGTGGCAGTGAAGAGGCGGACCACTGCCTTGTCGCCTCTGGTCTGCCGAGAGTGGACACAGCTCTGACCTCAGCACCTCCGAGTGGTATGAAGAACACTCTGAGCACCCACTGGTCCCCTCTGCCATCTCCTCTTTCGTAGCCAGAATGTAGGATCTGGCTAGAGAACTGCGAGAAGCAGCTGACTTGCGAATCCAGCGTTGCTTCAGGCAGCATTTAAGATACGCAGATGGGGTCCCTCTGTGTGTGGGACCTGGCAGGGGGTAGAAGGGGGTTCGCGGGACACCTGTGAGAGTTCGTCCCCCAGTCACCAGGCTCGGCGTCACAGGAGAGGTCTCCGTGGGTGACACCTGAGGGCAGCAGCCAGGAGGGGCGGACGGAGGCTCAGAGGCCGCCACGCGTGCCTCGTGGAGGTGCCTCGTGGTACCGAAGGCACCGTGGGCTGTCCTGCCAGGAGGTGGGAGGAGGGAAGCAGGGAGAGAGGAGGAGAGGAGGAGGGTCAAGGCTGAGGGAAGGAGGTGGCCCGCAGTCAGCAGTGCTGGACGCCTGCCAGGGTGGGGGCCCAACGGGCCGCTCGGGCTTGGCCTCCATTGCCTTAGAAGAGCGACCAGCACTACGGGAAAGACGCGTCGGGGGAGTTAGGGCGGTGCCGGGCGGAGGGCTTCCAAAGGCTGGCCTAGCCGCCACGCGGCGCGGGGCCTCAGGCCGCGGGGAGACCCGGCCGGGCCGACCCCGAGGGTGCCGGAGGAAGCTGGGGCCCGGCCGGCCGCGTCTCGCGCCGCACGGCCCCGGGCCTCAGGCCCGCGGGCGGCGCTGGGGGCTGGGCGTGGGGGCAGCCCCCGCGGGCCGCGGTGGTGGCCGGCTGAGGACGGCCCCTGTGCCCGCTCGTCCGCCGCTCCCGTTGCTGGGAGCACGTCCAGAACCAAGGCCTCCTCGTGGGCGCCAAGAACACGCGGAGGCGGCAAGTCGCCCCGCCGGCAGGTGTGTCGCGGGCTCCACAGCTTCCGGCCGCGGGGGGGGCCTGCAGAGCGCTCGGGAGGGCGCGAGGCCGCAGCTCGCCCGGAGCCGGCACGGACGGCCAGCCTGCGGCTCCCGGCGCCCGTAGCCCCGCCCCCCGCAGCGGGGCCCCTCCTCCTCGGCCCTTAAGCCCGCCTGGTCCCCGCCGAGCGGCCTCACGAGGGGCCGCGAGCTCGCGGGCCGCCCCGCCCCCGCCGTCCCCGGGCAGCCTCCCAGGTACGCGGCCCCGACGCGAGCGCGCGCCTTCCCCTCTCAGCTCGCCTTCCCCGGCCGGGCCTGACCGCGCTCGCGGCGGGCTCCGCGCCCGTGTCCGTCCGGACCTCCAGGGACCCGGCCGGAACGCCCCCGCCCCGCCCCTCCTCGCAGGTTCTCCGTGTCTGCGCGGCTGCGCGGCTGGTCACCTACCCCGAGTCCCCCTCGCGCCCCCCCCGTTGCTCGTGCGGCGACAGCTCGAGCCCTCCCGGGGCCGCTCACCTCGGCCCGACACCCCTGCCGCCCAGCCGTCGTCAGGCTGTTTGCCGCTCAGAACGTCGGTCTTCTAGAGAAACCCGGCGGCGTGCGTGTGCTACGTGACCTTCCCGCTTCGGGCGTGTTCTGTGCTTGTCCGGCTGCGGTGCCTCCCGCGGCCGCCTGGCCCCGCCCCCACCACGTCCACCTCCGTGCGCTTCCCTCTTCGCTGGACTTTTTTTTTGTTTTTTTTTTTTAAGATTTTATTTATTTGACAGAGAGAGACACAGCGCGAGAGGGAACGCAAGCAGGGGGAGCGGGAGAGGGAGAAGCAGGGGGAGCGGGAGAGGGAGAAGCAGGGGGAGCGGGAGAGGGAGAAGCAGGGGGAGCGGGAGAGGGAGAAGCAGGGGGAGCGGGAGAGGGAGAAGCAGGCTCCCCGCCGAGCAGGGAGCCCGATGTGGGGCTCGATCCCAGGACCCTGGGACCATGACCTGAGCCGAAGGCAGACGCTTAATGACTGAGCCACCCAGGCGCCCCAGGACCACAGTTTGTGTGTGTGTGTGTGTGTGTTTTAAGATTTTTATTTATTTATTTGACAGAGAGACAGCGAGAGCAGGAGCACAAGCAGCGGGAGTGGGAGAGGGAGAAGCAGACTCCCCACCGAGCAGGGAGCCCGATGCGGGGCTCGATCCCAGGACCCTGGGATCATGACCCTAGCCGAAGGCAGACGCTCAACGACTGAGCCACCCAGGCGCCCCTCTTTGCTGGACTATTAGGAAATGGCTTAAAATGTCTCTTATTCTTCGGAGTAGGCGAGCCTGCAGGGGGATGGAAGGCACGCGGTGGAACGGGACTCCCCGCCCTGCACCCCTCCGGCCGCCCCGACCCCGCCACAGGCTGCCGCCCGTCCCCGTTGCGGGCACAGCCTCCAAGCACACGGGCGAACAGCCGTCCTCGTGCCTGCCTTTTTTCACCCGACACACCGCCACCTTCCTCTTTCGACACGTCTGTGCCTCTGGTGGCTCCATGGTCGTCGGTTCTGGTCCTCTGGTTAGGACTCCGATGATTTCTTTGTCCTGTCGTCAGGTGCCGGGCAGAGTTACCCTGTGTGGTGCCGGCCAACTGGGGGTAACCATTTGCTTTTGCCTACCCGCCAGCACCGCTGTGGGACAGACACCTAGGATGGGAGCTTCTGGGTCAAAAGACCTGCTGATGCTCACAGCTGCCGCAGACCCTAACGTCGTAGCAGCTTCTCTCGCGCTTCGGTCGCCCTTGCGTCCTTGCCACACCGTGGTAACCAAGCACTTGATGGGAGGTGTTTGCTAAGCTCTTCAGGGCACTGGGTTGTCCAAGATCCCGGCCCCAGGTCTGGGCGGGCGCTGGTGTGCCCTGACCTCTCGCTTGCATTGGGCCCAAGGAGAAGTTCTGCTGAGGGGTCTGCTCATGGTGCTTAATCGACTGAAAATAAAAGTGGCAACAATTAAGTCTTATATAGTGGATAATCATGTGTAGCAAATTATTTGTGGTTTTTAGTAGTAATTGCTTTATTTATTGAAGATTGCCTTGCCGCTCAAGGACAAACTATGCTTTCTTTGATTTAATGCTCATAGCCACCTTCGGGTAGAGACCACCAGCCCTGTTTTAGAGGAGAGACTGGGACTGCCAGAAGAATGGCTTGCCCGAGCTGCACGACCACGAGGCAGCAGCCGGGCCCTACTCCACTGTGTGGCCTCTCTGTTCAGACTCCAGGATGCTGGCTCCCGTCCTCGCTCTGCGGTGGCATCTGTCGCCATCTCAGTGACTCCCTCAGCCCCGCAGGCCCGGCTCCTCACCTGTGAAGCCAGGGTGACACCCTTTAAAGGGTGGTGAGAGGAGCCGAGGTCGTGTGCAGAAACACTTCCGGCCCGCCCGGTTGATTGGTGGAAGAGACACCGGATCCACGGCCGGTGCTGTCATTCTGTCAAGACCGGTCTCAGTGGTAGGGCCACTGCTGGCCCCTCCTGTGGGGCAGGGCAAGGGCGGAGCGGCTCGAGACCAGTGTCCTGCACCCAGAACGCTCTTCTCTCCATAGATTCCCGCCTCCAGTCCTTGCCCAGGCCAGTGATCCCCACGTGGTTTTGGTGGCATACCCTGGTGGCATACCCTGGCCACGCATCTGCTTGTGTGTTCACCTGCAACTCCCATGCACGCAGTTCTTGCAACTAGCATGGTCCAAATTAGTAAAACCCACCAGTTCTACACCCACTATTCTAGGCGGCCGACCGTCCCTGGCCAGACTTCCAAGGGGTGGGCCGACTGCTGTCACACAGGTGGGCCCCCACTTTTGGAGAGGAGGGGACTGAGGCCAGAGAGGTGAAGTGACGTCTGCAGGTCACTCAGCTAGTAAGTGGTGGGTGGCCCTGAGACAGAGCTCCTCACGAGGCCCCGCTGCTGTGGCTGCCACTAAGTGGACCGAGCTGGGGCCAAGGGGCCTGGGCTGTGGCCCAACTGAAGAGGCCCGACCTGAGCCTCCCTGCCGCCCCCAAGTCGGTCCTGGATTACAGGCCCAAGCGCCACTGCTGGGATGTCCCTTCCAGCCGGCTGCCTCCTGCCAAGGCCTGGCTGCGGGCACGCACCCTTCCTGCAGACGCCCGACGCCTGGCAGAGCGACTGAGCAAGACAGATGAGGTCCCTGTCCTCAAGGAGCACACTGTTGGGGCGACCAGGAAGTAGGAACATTCACAAAGCCAAGATAACCACAGGCTTCCTGTGATTAGATTAGTTGGCTGGGCTGCAACGGACCAGAGAGTCACCACTGGCCTTGTCCCATCGCGGCCCAGAGTCTCCTTCCCTGTGGGGCGTCCAGGAAGGCCTTGTCACCAGCTTTGGTTTGACTTCAGGAGATGGAGCCCATCCTGCTGGGAGCATAATCCATCCACGAGCTGAGGTTTAGTACTTAACAGGTTTAGCTGCTGAATGGGTCCCAGGCTCTCAGCAGCGGGAAGGCAGCCCTGGATATGAGGCACGAAGGCAAAGGTAGGCAGGCCCCTGGCCAGTGCAGCATGACCTAGGCTAGGATATGAACCTGCCCTTCCTTACATCCCCACCTCCGAGCCCAGCTTGTGGTCTCTGAATGCCATTTCCCAATAAAAGGAACCAGGGATCTTTGGAGAAGTGGCTGGTTTCAGATATGGCAAGAAGTATACGAGGATACTGCCCAAAGAAGCACCCAGAAAATAATGGGGTTGTATCTAGAGGACATGAAAGCCAACACAAAATGCCTCCCACTGGCCTAACATGGACCAGTTTGCCATCAAAAGCATAATGACTGATTGAAACGCAGCCAACAGAAGAATCCAAAAGTTCATAATGATAATACCCAGTGATCACGTCTGGATACTAGAGGATATCACATGTATTCAGCTTTCCTATCCACACTTTTCAGTACACTCCAGTCACCAAGAGCAAATGTTCCTTACAGAATTCCAGCTAATACATGCAGAAGGACATGAAAATAACTAATTGGCAGCCTACTATGAAATCACGGACCTAATTACAGATCATCATTGGCTGCTAAAACCATCAAGTAGGTTGGCAGAGAACCTGGTAACGGATCAGGCTGAACCGGAACCTACCAGCAACCTCAACAGTCCTCAGAGAGGACTGTGGGAGATGGCAGAGTAGAAATAGCAGGGATCTGTTTCCACCTAGACAACAATTATACCAACAGAATCTGCCTGACATCATTATTCTGGAAATCTGGAGCCTACTGAAGCCTTGCAACTTCCTGGGAAGGTCTTGGACAATATATGATGATGGCAGTCCATCAATTTCAGCTCATGGCAGTTTAGCAGATACCCAGCCCCATGGCAGGCAGCCATGTGCCTGTTCCTGGAGCCACCTGTGGGAGCAAGAATCCTCTCCTCCAAATATCCCGATCTGTGTTCTGACCATGGAGGTGCAGACACAGAGGCAGGAGGGCATGATTGCTGCAGGCCCCTCATCCTCGATGGAAGCAACCTCCAGACTTAAGGGGCCAACACCTTTTTTACCCACCCCCTACCCCCATTTTCCTCTTTTTCCCCTCTGGGATCCAGACATTGAAGACTAGGACATTCAAAAGCAACTGCATCTATGGAGGAAATTAGAAAGTCACTGCACCTGCCCAGGGAAAGATGCAGGCTCAGGAAATGTCCAAGGAAGGCTTAAGATTATACCTCAGGCCGATCCCTGGCATGGGGTAGCCTACAACAGTAAAAACAAAACAACAACAGTGGCAAAGGTTGAGGAAGGCGAAGATCTAATCACCAGAGTTACCATATTATTAGATTCAAATGTCCAGTTTTCAACAACGACAAAAACACAAGGCATACAAAGAAATGGTCCATTCAAAGGAACACATAAGCCAATGGAAACTGTTCCCGAGCAAGACCAAATGGCAGACCTACCAGACAAAGAGTTTAAAACAACTGTCTTAAAGATGCTCAGGGAGGGGCGCCTGGGTGGCTCAGTCGGTAAAGCGTCTGCCTTCAGGTCAGGTCATGATACCAGGGTCCTGGGATGGAGCCCCACATCGGGCTCCCTGCTTGGCAGGAAGCCTGCTTCTCCCTCTCCCATTCCCCGCTGCTTATGTTCCCTCTCTCGCTGTGTCTCTCTCTGTCAAATGGATTAAAAAAAAAGATGCTCAGGGAACTAAAGGAGGATGAGGAAAAAGGCAAGAAAACAATATTAATTAAATGAAAATCACAATAAAGAGATAAAAAACTTAAAAGGAAACCAAAAAAACTCCAAAGCTGAAAGTACAATACTGGAAACGAGTAATTTACTGGAGGGATTCAATAGCAGATTAAACAGGCAGAAGAATCAGCAAATTTAAAGATCGGATCATTGAAATGATCAAGTCTGAGGAGAGAAAAAATAAAGACTGATGAAAAGTGAACAGAACCTAAGGGACCACCAGATAAACCAATGTACAGACTGTGGGAGTCTCAGGAAGAAAAGAGGGCAGTGAGAGATTATTTGAGGAAATAACAGCCAAAGGTTTCCCAAGTTTTATGAGAGATACAAATATAAACACCCAGGAAGCTCAACGAACCCCAAGTAAGATGAACTCAGACACTCACCAAGACACATTACAACTAAACTGTCCAAAGCCAAACCAAAGAGAGTCTTGAAAGCAACAAGAGAGAAGCAAGTCACCACATATGAGGGACCCTCATAAGATAATGAGCAGCTTCTTCTCAGAAACACTGGAGGCCAGAAGGCATGGGGCCAATATATCAAAGGGCTAAAAGAATCCTCCATCTAGCAAAACCATCCTTCAAAAGTGAGGGAGAAATTAAGATAAGATAACCAAAAGCTGAGGAAGTCTGTCACCACTAGACCTTCCCTGCAAGAAATCCTCAAGGGACCCCTGCAGGTCAGAATGAAAAGATACTGGACAATATGTGGAAGTTCTCCAAAGAAATTAAGACCTCAGTAAAAGTAAATACGTGGGCAATTATACAAGCTACTATTATTGTGACAGTGGTTTGTAACCCCACTTTTTGTTTTCTACATGATTTAAGAAACTGACATTTAAAATTAAAAGCTAGTGGGCGCCTGGGTGGCTCAGTTGGTTAAAATTAAAAGCTAGTATTATCTCACTTTGTAACTCCATTTTTTTCTAAATAATTTAGAAGACTAATGCACTAAAAGAAAAACAATTACTAGCTTAAGCTGTTGGACACTCACATATAAAGTTGTAATTGTGACACTGAGAACTGAAAGGGGTAGGGATAGCTGTAAAGGAGCAGTTTTTGTATGTTATCGAAGCTAAATTGGTATAAATTCAGATTAGGGTTTTATAACGTTGGGATGTTAAATAGAATCCTCATGGTAACCACAAGAGAACAGTGACAGAATATATACTAAGAAATGAGAGGGGAGTATATTCCACCACAAAAAAAAAAATCAAGTAAATACCAAAGAATATAGCAATTCAAGAAATGAAGGGCAAAAACCTATAAGAAATATAGAAAACAACAAGATGACTGAAGTTCTTCCTTAGCAGTATTTAAATGGAAATGGATTAAACTCTCCAATCAAAAGACAGAGATTGGCAGGGTAGATTTCTTTTTTTTAAGATTTATTTATTTAGGGGCGCCTGGGTGGCTCGTCGGTTAGGCGTCTGCCTTCGGCTCAGGTCATGATCCCAGGGTCCTGGGATTGAGCCCCGCATCGGGCTCCCTGCTCCGCGGGAAGCCTGCTTCTCCCTCTCCCACTCCCCCTGCTTCTGTTCCCTCTCTCACTGTGTCTCTCTCTATCAAATAAATAAAATCTTTAAAAAAAATTTTATTTATTTATTTATTTTGAGACAGACAGTGTGTGAGCCCGCATACCTGCATGCACATAGGGGCTGGGACAGAGGGAGAGAATCTTCAAGCAGACTCCCTGCTGAGCATGGAGCCCAACTCGGGGCTCAGTCCTACCACCCATGAGATCATGACCTGAGGGGAAACCAAGA